TGCATTAAGCAAAATATTAAAAAAATATCAAGATTTAGGTTTTTTAAATTAATTAATGATATTTAAAATTATTCAAGTTTTTTTTGTAATCTTAGTTATACAATACATTGATTATTGTTATATTATATTGTGTAATGACATATGATACTATTATTGACAGCAAACATTTAACATCAGCATTAATTTGATAATTAATGGCATGAGGTAGTTTTTGTCAAATGTAAATTACACAGGTTACTAATTGGTATTTTCTTATAAAAAGAACATGTAATATTTTTCATATAAATAATTATCTTTATAACAATGATTCCTCCGATTAATATAATAATATTCATGCATATAATTAATTCATATATAAATTATTAGCCAGTTTGACTATATATAATAAATTCAATTAAGTCCTATTAATTAGTTGCAAATTTGCGCAGCATCATGAAAACATCCAATTTTATTGGGTGCGTGTTATCCTTATTTAGATTGTACAAACAAAATTTATTTTTTCAAAAAAAAAAAAAAAAAAAATGACAAATTTGCTACCTGAACTTCTAACTGAAATAACCAAATACATCAAAAATGACTATAAAACATTATATTCTTGTATTCTTGTCAACAAACAATGGCACAATATTAATATTCCAACTTTATGGGAAGATCCATTCATTTGTGAAGGCAGCATCAAAATATTAATTAATTGTTTACTGGAAGAAGATAAAAATTTCTTGACTAGAAATTGCATTGGATTAAATTTTAAACTATTGGAGAAACCACCATTACATAACTATGCCAGATTTAGTGCTAGACTTTTCAATCATCATAGTTTTTATAAACTTAAACTGATAAAAACTGGTGCATTACAAATTTTACGAAGTAGTTTAACAAAATTTATTTTAGATCATTCAGCAGGTATTAGAGGGCTTGATATTATTGATTATATGGATTTGAATTTGTTTATTAATCATTATAGATTTAATAATATCTTTCAGGATCTTTATGAATTAGATTATATTGGTTCTAAGAGTAGTGCATTTTTTGATAAATTAATGAATGTTTGTAAGAATATTCAATCATTAAAAATATATTATGATATTGATGACAAAAATATATATAAATTGGTACAGTTAATTAAAGCACAAAAGAAAATTAAATATTTAGTTATTAAATCTGGACAAACTTTACCAAATGAATTAAAAGAAGCAATATTAATGCATTCACAATCAATAACTTTTTGTGAATCTTATGGAGGAAATAATTTGAAAAATATTTCACTGCCAAATATTGAATATGTGAAGGTGTATATTACATATCAACGAGCCCTATCAGGCTTGTCAGATTTTATTAATATCAATGGAAAAACTCTTAAAAGTCTGGATGTTAATGGTGTTCCAGAGGAGGATATTGAGTTTTTGGGAAGGCTGTTTCAATCAATTGCACAATCTTGCAAAAATTTAGAAGATTTATCTATATTTTATGATAATAAGTTAGATCAGGAATTAATAGAAATATTTGATAATTGTGTGAAGTTAAAAAGTTTTAGATTTGATCATACTTGTTTGTCTGGAATAGATGGCAATAAAATATTAACAGTATTAAATCAAACACTACCAAAAAAATTAAGATCAATAATTTGTGCTTGTGATGTATATAATATTAATGACTATTCATTGACTATTCTAATGAAGAATTGGAGAGGACCCAAACCTTTAACAATGGAATTTCACAATTATGGTAATAAAGGTTATGCATTAAGAAAAATATTAAAAAAATATCAAGATTTAGGTTTTTTAAATTAATTAATAACATTTAAAATTGTTTCAAGAGTTTTTATGTAATTTTATTATTTATATTTATTATATTATATTGTGTAATGTTATCTGATACTATTACTATAATTGACAGCAAACATCAGTTGGATGGTAAAGAACAGTTTAACTAACATTTATTATTATTTGTATTTAGCATTAATTGACAATAAATAGCATGAGGTTGTTTTTGTCAAATGTCTTGATGGTTACTTTCTTGTAAAAAGAGCTTGATCCTCACAGTAATGAATAAATAATATTTTCAAACATCTAACCATATAAATAATTATCAATCATAACATGCCATGATAACTTGATCAACTGAAATGGTCGGGCACATCAGGAATAAATAGTTGGAGGGGTATTGTTGGTATTTCTATACGTGAAAGGTCTAGCTGTAAATGGACACGCACATTAAACTGAATCAAGATTAGCAGCATACTGTTCCTTGAAAACTAGCACAAGTTGAAGTGTATTTTCTACTTCTATCGGCACCTTTGATGGTTAAGGTAGACAATCGGGCAGGGTTGGTTTTGTATTTAATAATGGTATAAATCTCTTTACAAATAAAGGTGAGGAAATGAGAAAGTGATAATTCGAAAGAAAAAAGAAAATTCGAAACAATTTGTTCATTTTCGATTTGTTTTATTTAAAGATTTTTTTTGTGATTAAAATTTATTCAGAATTATAATAATTGATATTGCTTTTAGAAATTTTCGAGTGGATATTTTACGAAGATGATAAATTGGTTTTTGGAAGCCATTATTAGAATGTTATCATGATAATAATTATCAAAATTATCGCGCTCGCGACATAACTCACTATTGCAATTACCATTACTATATAAGTAATGAAATCGTGAGCAAAATTATTTATTAATTGGCAACAGATAACAGATAGATCAGATAGGTTTCTTATTCGAATTATTCGTTTATGGATTACTTGGAATCTTCATTTTCCTCAGTTTGTTTCAATTATTCAAATTACAGTATTAATTTTATTACAAAGTTAATAAGAAAAGATTGGAACGAGACTCATGTTACTTTTTATAATAGCAATCTTTCTAGATGTTGTTGGGTTTTCTGCATCATAAAAAGTTTTTCGAAGATTCTATATAGATAAAAAAAAACAAATTATTTAATTACTTGATAGATAGCAAATTAGGAAAATATGCTTTTTCTTCAGAGTCTGGTGATACTACTTTGTTACTAAGTGATGAATTTTGTTTGTTGTAGTGTTTCCTTCATTAATTGTATGCACAATGATAAATCATGTTTTCCGAGATTGACTCGATGATGGTTTCTTATTTTCTTTCAAAATCATCATCATGACCATAATCATTCTAAATCATCAACTTCTGAAAGTTATGTCTTTCTCTCGCCATTATCGTAAGAAGAAGCCACGCTAAATGTTCTTTCAACAATAATAATGATTTTTGTAAATCTCATGCTGATTTGATTACCTTTTAGCAAAGAAATTATTATAATATTTATCATTTATATGTCAGATACTACTATTATTATTATCACTCGCTACAAAGGAATTCTCTAACCAACACGACAAATTTTACTTTTTTTATATAAACATGGTTTCTATCAAAGTTCAAAGGTATAAAAATCTTTAAAGTTAAAATCGCCAGTTTTTATGTTCTATGTTTTTAAGTAGGTGTGATTATAGTAGTTCGAATTACGTGGTCGCTTGCCATTTTTTAAGTGACATTTATATAATAAAAATAGAGGTCATTTGCCAACATTGGATTATATATGTCCTTACATAACATATCTTTTTATATGATTTTAATCGTACATATATAATGGCGTTATTGTAAAAACAAATGTTTCAATATATAGCTATTTCAAATTGATTGCAATTTTAGAAAAACGGATAGGCTTCGAAATATGTACCCATGATTAGTAAAGTCATATATATTATTTTGCTTCATTATTAAAATGAAGATTTATTTAATTATATTAATTATTAAAAATTAAAAATTATATTAATTCTAATTTTACTTAAAAATACAACAGTTTATAGATAGGAAATTAAGTATTAATTTATGCAGGAGGAGCAGTAACAGTAAGATTTCCTGATACACATCCTAATTTAGTTCCATCAGGAGCAGTGACTAAATAATAATTGTTAAATATGTTAGTATACAATGACAGATGAACTAATAATATAGATAAAAATAAAATTATAACATACAAGTATAAATTTGATCAATTGTAGTAGGTTCCTCAACAGCTTCTGGCAAAGCATAGTTGCCTGTGAATGTAAAAGCTCCGGCTGCGACTGGACATGTTTGATTGAAAGTTGTGCAAAAATCTCCTTCGCTGGGATATTCTACTCCATCAATAGTACTAACAAGTGAGTATGTGGTTCCAGTTTCTATAGGGGCTGTGGTTGTGCCACTGAAGCTTAAGCTAGCATCTTGACCGATCACTACTGGATCAGGGGTAATTACAAATGAATCAAAGGTCATTGGAAAAGTGCCATCCGTACTACTACATTGTGCAAATACTCTCTTTACCAATGAGGATGATGGAGCTGGAATTGAATAAATTATAGCTGGAAAAACGAACAAGAGGAAAATGCTAATTAATTTGTTCATTTTTATTATTTTTTGTTATTGTCGTTTTGTTTTAAAGATTTTCTTTTTTTTTTTTTAATGTAAAATTTATTCACTAAAGAGCAGATAGTAAGTAAATTAGTTTCTCTTTATATAATTAAATTTTTCCTATAAATTCATTCACTCCCAAAATAATTGTTTTACGATGATGGTTATTATTAATATTTACAATAGTCACAAACAATTAAGCAGAATTGTATATAATAAATGAATATTGATCGTGTAATTGTTGAGAGAAATAAATATCTCTCCTGGTTGGCCAGTTATATCCATTAGCAGCTATGTACGACATTAAATATGTAAAAACAGTAGCATCTCCACAAGGAGGGATTGTAAATATCACACAAAAATCCAATATCTTGGAGTTAAATTGCAAGCAGCGTATGGTTAGACAATGACATGCCACACGTCAATTAAATGATCTACTGAAAGAATATAAGTTCTCGATGGTAGAGGTATTAAGAAAATGTTTCATCGTGCAACAAATATGAAAGCGTATATTTATAATTTTTTTTGTTCTTCTAAACAAAAAAAAAATGCAAATAATTAATTAAATATGTATATATATGGAAATGGAGATGTGGAGGTAACTAATATAATAATTAATTAATAATATCCCTTCCGAATTGAATGAAGAGATTTCAATATTTAATAGGTTGATAATAATAATAATTCTTTTTTTATTTATAACAACAAACATTAATTAACTTTAATCTAAAAATGCTCTGAAAAAAGAAAACATTTAACGCCATCAATTAATTACAGAGTCTTGGCACTATTTCTTATTTTGAATCACAATGTTTGTGTGCATATGGCGCAGTTTGATTTTCTAAATTAAATTCTCGTATGGTGCGGGACCACCATTTACTGCGCCTCGTAACCAAATTTCAAATTTGCAATTTATTGGAATGAATACTTGAGTAAAATAAAAAATATTGACGTATTAATGTTACAATTTTTTAATTCTGACCAGAATTTTTAAAAAAGGATCTGTTGATGTCATAATTTCCGTCCAAATTTAAGCGGCCAAATTCCTCGCAAACAAGTAAAATATATGTACTAAAAAGGAATAGAACTCAACAACCCATCAATATTTTGAAAAAAACTCTCTGTCACATTAAAGCTTGGGCCCCAATCTATACCATAACAGAGCTATTTTTTTAAAAATGATATACAGAAATGAACTTTTATTCTTTTAAAAATCACATACAGAATTTGTGGTTTAAGAGGTCCCGCACCATATTAATTGCTAGATAGATGACAATCAATGAGTTTAAAAAAGACGGAATAAAGAATGAATATTTAGCTTTTTTTTATTTATTTTTTTTTCAGAAAACCAAAGGGGCCAATGAAGAAATTAATGATATTAAGATGATGTTTTAGTATAAAGTTGTACGATAATTACCTAGTCAATCTAGAGATAAAATCTAATCGTATCATGAGGGAATTTAAGATCTCGATTGCTGACAATTATGGTAAATCTGATAGGATAGTTAATAATATATTCGGAATTTAGCAGCAAATTATATTAATATTAATATACTAATACGTATTTTATGCATACAATAATACTTATATTATGCGCAAATGTTCTATTTTTGTCAATAAAATATGCATATACGTATAATATAAACCCTGGTTCCCGGCATTCTATTGTTAAAGAAAAGGAATGCCGCGTGATCATTACAGAAAATTTCAATAGGGCAATAAATCCTGTAAAAAATTGTCCAGACAAAATAAATACTAAATATGAACAAATCTCTAAGATGGATGACTTATTCGATTATAATCTTCGTATGACAACGTTTAAAAAAAGAGAAGGGACAGAAACCAGAATTGGTTACATTTTTGCAGGTGTTTAAGACAATCAAGTGCTTTCCAACTTTAAATTTCTAATCGCAGGCTTTATACTTTACATATGATCTTTATTTTTAATTTAAATATTAGGTTTTTGTTCAACATTTTTGTTTTTATTAACATTATTATTGCCCTCTATTTCATGTCCAAATTAATATTTTTATTTTTTGAAAATAATTTTTATATGTACACATATTAATAAAATGGAATAAAAAAGAAAAAGGCGAAAGAACATGTACATGAATAAATGAATGAATAAACGAATAAATGAATAAACAATAAAGAAGAATTCAAATAAATTTAGAGATTAAGAGTAGCCAGCTAATTTATTATTTAATGTGAACAAGTACTATTTAATACTATTTATATATCAAGATTATTTTTCGATGTATTCATATGCGTAATAGTAAGAAAAACCTTTATGGCGTAATTAATATGATTGGATTGCGTCTGGTATTTATCTATTTTTAGAAACTTGTGTACCATATTCAAAAGGATTCTAATACTAATTCATCATCGTTTATTTTTAATAAAAAACTTACATATGTACTTTACCAAATTTATCAACATTGATAGAAATTTTTTTGACCTAATGCGAACAATTTCTGAGTATACCTTATCCCTGAAGTAAAAAATTCATTCATTTTTTTTATAGAATCAAAATATGCAAAAAATTTTTTTGTACGAGAAATTTAATCACATATAGTATGTTTGTAATGCGAGATAAAACATCACCAAAAATGTGCATAAAAAAAAAACAAGAAGATTATATTTTAAGATTAGTTGTGAAATATATAGTGAAATTATTATTTGCTTTTTTAATAAATTATTTATAAGAAAATTGATACAAAAAACCTGTGTTATTGTATACAAAGATTGTTTGTACTTTCAGCAGTTTCTCCAATAATTGCTCTTCTTTTCATGTTTGCTTTTGTCCTTCTCATTCCTGGGCTTTCCTTTCAATTGTCGTTTCGTTCTTTAAAAAGACGCTGCTTGGATTGTATTTACAAACGCCATGTAATTAATGAGACAAATGTTCATGCCTTTATTTAAGTAACTAGAATGACTATTTTTGTTCTCAGATATATACAGTATATACGCACTTTGATTATCTTTATCTACAGTCAGCCCTCATCATCTGACGAATTTTGGTTTAGTCCCATTTTATTATTATTAATTAAAAAAGTTACGAATTTAAAAGTCGTAACTAAAAATTAATATCGTACTACCAATAGAGAATTTTAAAGGTAATCATTCATTTAAATGAAACAAAAAAAGACAAAAGAGAGTCTCACCAATTTATTCATTTTTTATCATGCAACAAACAAATTTTAAATCAAAAACCCTTTATTCTTACATTCTTGTCAATAAACAATGCCACATATCAATCAATATTCCAACTTTATGTAGAGATCCATTCTATTATGATAACAGCGCAACATTGAAATATTGACAAAATTGTCTATTAGTAAATGATAAAATTTTTCAACACAAAATAACATTGGAGAAGCCACCATATTTTAATGTTAATGAAATAATAGATAATAACAATATTAGTAATTTTGATAATTTGAGAAAGATTAGTATACTTAATTTTAGACTAATCCAACTATCAAGAAGCTTGATTATTCGTTAACATCATTTTTTTTTTTTTTGAAAAATAGAGGGGGAAGGGGGTAATTTAATAACCACTAATGAAAAGCTTTCAATTACAGTCTGGGAGTATACCATAAATGGAAATCAATTCTAGAATGTTTTACCTCGAAATTTAATTTGCCTTTGACGATCTTTTCTGCAAAAAATTCGTGACATTTTTGTAAGCCCAAAGAAGGTATATATCATACAACAGTACCATATTTTTATGATGCCGATAGGCTCGCTAAATACACAGTTTAATAATCCACTTTAATCCACAAAGATTTACATATTAATTTTTTTTTTCAATAAGAGACATACATTGGCTTGAATTTTCAATTATTTATTCTTTTTTTTATTCTTTTTTGTGTATAGAAATTATTCGAATTCCTACAATGTCAAATAAAGACAACTACCCAAGACTTTTTCATGTTCATTTAAAGACATATTTGATAAATATTCAGAGAGGGAGATGCAGTTGAAAAGAGTAAATAAGTAAAACAAACCAAATAACTCACTGAACTATCTTTATTAAATAATATTATAATAATAATAAATAAAAATAAAAAATATTGTGTATATAACTAAATGATAAAATTACATAAAAACTCTTGAAATAATTTTAAATATTATTAATTAATTTAAAAATCCTAAATCTTGATATTTTTTTAATATTTTTTTTTTAATGCACCACATTCATTACCACAATTATGAAATTTCAGTGTTAAAGGTTTTGGATCCTTTCTAATTCTTCATTAGAATATTTAATGAAAAATCATTAAAAATCTCACAAGTACAAATTATTGATCCTAATTTTTTTTGGTAGTGTTTGATTTAATACTGTTAATATTTTATCACCATCAAGTCCATAAAATCCAGCTTCACACAAATAAGAATCATCAAGAGCATTACCAAGTAATACTTTTTAACTTTGTATAATTATTGAGCACCTCCATTAATTCCTAATTCATCTTTATAATTGTTGATAAATTTTCTAAATTTTTACAAGATTGTACAATTGATTGAAATAGCTTCCTCACAAATTTGCTATTTGTAAAGTCATAATAATTTTCATAGCTAACATCCAGATCTTTAAGGGTTTTTCCATTGATATTAATAAATCAGATCTTTTTAAAAATTCAGTTTTGACTTTTTCTACTTCAGACCCAGGAAAAGTCAATAACTTGTGTTATTGAACCAATTTTAGAATTTTGATCAATAATTATCAAGTTTAATAACAATAGCTGTTGCTATTGTTACTGGAATTAGATTTGGATGTTCTTTTGGCCAAATTTAACTAATTCCAAAATTCTTAATTTTTATTATTATTATATTTTAGTTATTTCTATTTTTATAACCTTATTTTATTAAACGAGAATTGCTATTTCTCACCGGTGATGATTGTCACTACCTAAGGAATTAAATTTGCGTGGGGCGGAGTTAGGGTTGGGGTTAATCATAAATTGTATAATTCCTTAGGTGGTGA